GATGCCGACTCTTTGCTCTGATCCTGGAGGATCTGCAGCAGGTGATTAACATCGTTCCTCCAGGATGCTTCAATAAATCATCTTTTCTTCAGAAAAATTCACGGAGCAGCAGATCAAAGTCTGTAATCAGAAAACGTCATTTTGGGCCCAGAGACATTTTATTCACCAATCCGCCGTTTGATTTACAATATAAACAAGTGGCAGCCTGCTGAGCATAGAGCTATGGATCCAGAGTCCCACTCCCACAGCCTGACACTCTGGGTCCCTGAGCCAGACCTTTAGCCCCCCACTGGGGGGGAGGGGTTAAATACAGAGAGGGAATTCGTTGCTCTGACATCATGACAGCAGAATGATGTCAATTAATCGGTTTAATCGATTATTGAAATAATCAACTAATTTATTAATTAATTAATCTAGAGACTGTAAAACACGCCTTTATCTGACAGAGAGGAATTACATCACAAAAGTTAAAAATATATATCAACATTTAACATTTAAGATTAAAAACCATTTTCCGTCAATCTGCTCTATAATCCAGAAATCTTCAAGTAAAATTTTTAGCTTCACCAGATAAATTTTCAAAAAAGAAATTTTTTAAGATCAGATCATTAAATGAAAAAATGATTGACAGATTAATAGATAATGGTAATCGTCAGCTGCAGCACCAATTTATTTATGCATTTATTTAATTTCTCAATAACAAAAGGAGTCCATTAAATGTAAACTTTATATTTCTGAGACACTAGATTTATGTTTTAATTTTCTGCCATAATCTTCAAATGTATAAAGATCAAAGGCTTTCCATTTCTATCTTTGATCTAGCCTGATAAACCAGACTAAACCTGAGATTAAATGTGTAATCTAGTCTGGACCCGATGATTGAGACATCGGAAGATTGTAGCTGAGATCAACCAAACCACGTCTGTTCCTATTGGCCAACGCTCTGACCAATGAGAGCAGCTGACTGTGACGTAGGAAGCGCCACAGGAAGCTGGTGGGGGAGTGGAAACAAGCAGCCTGCCCGTAAAACGGCGAAAACGTCGTTCTTTAACACGAACGAGCGTAGAGCCTCTTCCTGATCACGTTTCAACGAAAGTCTGATCCTTCCAGATTCCAAAGCTGCGTCAAACCAGAACTGTTCAACCGCTGTCGCCATCTTCCTGGTTGAGCTTCTCCAGCGTCGCGCAGCTTTGTCGTCACGCCCTCAAAACCCCGCCCACTTTGCATCCAGACATTCAAAACACATCTCTGTGTTGTGATTGGCCCGCCAGTTCCAGGGCCTGGGGCATTGATGGAGGCTAGACCAATCATGATCCTGGCCGCTGGTGGGCGGGGCTAATTTACCAGACTAACTTTGAGACATTTTCTGGAAAAAG